ATTTCTTTTATACGTTTTATATCACATCATTTAAATTTATTTTATAATCTATATATATGTATTTATAAATAATATAAGATATAATAGACTTATGTTAAAAATATAATATTATTTTATAATATTATTATATGGATTTATAATATTATTTTTCAAATTTTAGATCTTTCTTTCTAATGCAGAGATTTAAAGTGATTATAATTCTCTTATATCACTTACAAAAATTTCAAAAAGATTTTTTTTTTCTTTAATAAGTTATTAATTAAACTATAAAAATAATATAAAATTAACGTTTAACATAAATTGAATCATATTGAGAAAGAATAAAAATAACTGAATTTGGGAGGAATAGATTTCTATGCAAAGAGTGAAAATTTAAGCTATGATCACCTTAAGAAATTACACGTGATCTACAAATGCAAACACGTGAATAGTCAGTTAGCTAAGGAACATTTTATTGAAGTCCATGACCGCTTTCTGTGGGTAACGATCCTTTTACTGGATATACGATGAAAGCGTACTGCACATATACTTTTAAAGTATGCAGCGGATCGGTGCAACATCGATGCATGCCTAGCACGTGTATGTCCTAGTCACTAGACTCTCGGCCCAATTCGATCAATGTTGTCTCTTGCACAATAATTTTATAACAGCCTTTCCAATCGTCCTTTCGCTTTTTCTCACTGTCTCCTTAGGGGAACGCGATAACCACGATCTTGCTTCGAGTCTTGCTCTGAGTCTTGGTGTTACGTTCCTCGACATCATACTCTCTTCGATTCGCAAGTTTTTGAGAAGTTATTAAAAGTTATTTATTATCGAGATTACTCTGTACGCTAACTCTAACGCTGGTTACATTTTGAGAAATCTTTTATGGTTTGCAATTTCTACGGCTGTTTTTACACCCAATTATATAAATTGTTGGAATAGATAAGATATTTAAGTAGTGAATTTTTCTGTGAAAACTTTAAATCGCATGTGAATATAAAAATTTAACATATTAAACCGGCATGGAATCATTAAGGAATTCATTTGATACAAAGGGGTATCAGAGATTATCTCTTGATTAGAATCATTATTAAAATACATAAAGATATTTTATCATTATATTTTGAATAATTTATCATTTATTTTTTTATAAATCAGTATGTCAAAAATCAATTAAATTAAATTGAATTAAAATTTCACTAATAAAGGAGAAAATTTAATGAAGTTATATTTTTTTAAAATAAAAAGCTTGAAAATAAAACTTAATAAAACTTAATTTTTCATTGTAATTTAAAAGATAAAAACTCTTATAAAATTGCTATAAATAATTAGTATAAATAATATTTAATAGATGTTGGCATTAATGAATACTGCAAAACTTGACTTTTTGGATATCGCCAATGATAAATTTAAAACTATTATGAAAATATCAAACAATGACTCGATTGAACAAAAGAAAAATCGTGCTGAAAGTGATGAGGATTCTTCGAAAACTTTACAACTTTTACGTATTAAAGGATTTCCCCGATTGTTACCTGAAGGTTTGATTTTTTAAGAGATAATTTAATATTTCATTTCTTTTTAAATGAATTTAATTAATTTAACATTAGTAATAATTACGAATAATATTATATTAACAAATTATTTTTCCAGGAATTGAAGCATTAGTTAATTACTGCTGTTATCTGCAAGAATTATCATTATCTTATTCATTGCTTAGTGACGAATTACTATTAGCTTTGAGTTCCGAAAAACAAGTGCAATTGGAAACTTTACGATTGGAAGTACATCCAGAAACAAAACCACTTCCACGAGTGAGCGATAAAGCTTGGTTTTCATTTTCCAATCATTTACCGAATATAAATCTTGTGTTGTGAGTGCACATTATATTAATTTAATTATATTAATTATAAATTCATTGTTATTTCACTATTTTTATTTTCTAAAAAGATTATAATATTTGAACAAACTATAAAATGTAAACTATATTATCAATTAGAATTCTTATTGTTATCCAAAATGGATATTCATATACAAAAAATACATTTAATTAATTTAATCTATATGTCTATATTGCAATATATTATATTATTTAAAATGTATTAAAAAGTATAATTCTTTGATTTCTCTTTTTTTAATATATTATACAATATCAATTCATGCATGTAATAAAACATTTCATCTTATAATAAAAATAGATTATGTTATATGACGAATGAAGATGATCAAAGTCCGTTATTCGCACCGTATGTTCCTATAACGCACTTGTATTTTGGAGAAACTCCATCGGAAACAATGATATTACATATCGGATATCAATGCCCCCGTTTGGTTGAACTAGTGATTGCAGCTTATGGTTCCGGTTTACTTGATCGTGCATTACTCTTTGTCGCTGAACATTGTCCACGTTTAAGTGCTGTGGCTTTGGGTGATTGTGAAATCACGTATGTAATATGATCTAAATTTAAATTAAGTTTTGTCAATAAAAATTCAAATTTTAATTTTTTTTCTTTATACTTCTTCAAATTAAAATAAAATGATAATAATTTACTTTTTTGTTTTTTTAATATACTCAGTTGCTCAGGATTATTGGAATTTGTTACACTCTGTGCAAAACGTTTGCAAATACTGTATATTTGGGAAACGTCATTAATAGAAGATTCTGAATTAGACATCACAACACTATCGAAGAATGTATCATTGCTTCTTGGTCGTACTTGGGTACCTGAATACATACCACTATGTTGAAATTTTAAAAAATGATGTAAGCAATTAAAATAATAATTGATGGTAATTTGCGCGTATATTAAAAATATTTGCATAAGTGATGAATTAAACTTTACAAATATATGTATATTATTTATTTTCTGCCAATTTTTACATACAGACAAATGTAAGAAATTATAATTTATAATATTGATTAATATTATTTAATTGTAGATTTTTAATAACTTTAAAATAGATCTTTCAAAAAAAAATTTTTTTCAATATAAAAATTGCATAATTTAGATAAAAAATGTCTATATTTTTTAATAGATATATTATTGAAACAATATAATGATTGTAACAAGAAGAACGTAAAAAAATTATAATTAGTAGTAATAAATTTTATTTGTTTTGTTATATCGATTCAACGTTACTTGATGAATCGGATACGAACTATATGTAAAAAAAATGCAAAAAGCCTCGTATTGTAAAAATTGCTCGTGTCTATTAATACCAAAAATATAAACTTTATTAGATTATAATGATATATCTTGTATGTGATATATATAAAATAAAATAATACCACTATGTATTTACCTTCGCTCATGATAGATATGTATAATATACAATAATTGATATAGTCTATAATTGTAATACAACAGAGTATGTACATTATTTCTACATAACACAATAAATGATTGGGTATACTTAATAATTATAATTATCTACTAATGTTAACAATTACGATGTCCTTAATATTTATTTGTTCTTTAATTCACGCAATTATTTTTTTTCTTATACATCTTAATGATGCTAATCTAAGGATGCGAGGCGCTCAGTCTTATATCCCAGCCGATATATCCAATCTCTTATTTTATTAAGGCCGATAGAAAACCTATACTCGAACATACAACTATGTTTACAATAAACTATATGTTAATTGTAAACAAAAATTTATATCATTTTTTATTATAAAAATATTTAATGTTATTAAACATAACATATAGATCATGCCAAACAAATGTCCTTATACTTTTATAAAGATCATAATATATTCATTTTCCATTGAAAGGAATATTAATGTTTTAAAAAAATATAATGAAATTTAAATCATTCAATATTTTATAAAAGCATACTATATGTTTTTTACATTATCATTTACAAAATGTATTATTCATAGCATTTATTAAGCAATTAATGAATAGTTAAATGTATACAAAATTAACTTAAACACTTAAAGTAACAGAGCCCTTTGAACACGTTTATTAAAATGCTTATCTCTTCATTAATATACATATAAGAATTTTTAATGACAAAATATTGCAAAATATTTTTAGGAACATTTAGAACAAAAATTATTCTAATATAAATATAACTTTTGTTTTTTATTATATATTACCATACTTATTATAAATATATGTTTAAAATGTTATTAAAAAAAAATTAAATTTATAATATATAATTAAAAAAGATTTATGTATACATAGAACATTTTTATGAAAATAAAATGTAATAAGTAAAAAGTTTTATTATTCAGATTTTGTTAGAGTTTTGTTCATTAATTAATTTTTTCAAACTCACTAATTTAAGAATAAAATCAAGTCTTACTTATTAGAAAAATTTAAATTATTAAATAATAAAAACGAAAATTTTTAAAAAGAAATGTAAAATATAATGTCAAATGGCAATTACTTTAACTGTTCACAGCTTTACTTATACTTTTTGTTTTTGTCTATATATATATATAATATAATATGTATTATATTTATATAAATATTTTTTTTATAAATGATTCAAATGTTGATAAATTTCGTATTAATTAAAAATCAAACAATCACACCAGAATCTAATTATATACATAATAAATTTTTCGGGCATGATCTGTACAATACTAAGAAATTCTAAAACTTGGAGTCTATTTACATTAAAGATTTTCCTTCATAACAAGCTTCAAATTTACATTTATTACATTCTGCAGGAAAATCTATTTAAAAAATAAGTATACATTACAAATTAAGCTTAACTTTGTACAGATCATGATACCGAGGTTTAGTTTAAATTTTAAACAACATAGTTTATAGCTGCATACAAAACATGTCTAAGATATTAATTTTTTTAGCACCAACTTAGGCATGTTTATCATTCCACTATTCACTACTTTTGGCAAAGTAATAATAATGTTATCGTTACGTAACAAGTATAATTGAATAACAGGCTTAATAAAATAGGTCGGCAATTATTCTATATCATTATAAAGGAGCAATCAAATAAGTGGACGGGTTGGTTGCTTATTCTACACATAATTTAAGTGTTTGGATACAGAAAAAATGAATGCAGCTTTAAGAAATATAATATTTTTGAGCACTGCAACTGCTAAATTTGCTCGTGGGACCTTTTTATATTTATATTTTTATATAGATATAGATATTTAATATTTAACTTTTTTGTAATTATTTATTTAAAAAAAATTTGTAACGCTTTTTCTACTAAAATTTTCACAATAATTGTGAAAAGCTTAAGCCCCATGAACAAAATAGGTAATATAATTATTATGATTGCCTTGGCGCATAATATATTTAACAATAACAAGATTTTCATTACGATATATCGTATTGAAAATAATAATTTTATTTCCTTCTTTATAATAGATTTCGCTATTATTTACGCACCTGTTCATTACTCGTTAAGATATGATATCTGGTATTAACCAATCATATCGATAAAAATATTTTATATACCCGAATAGGGCCTGCAACATAAAGTATTTTTTAAATTGATATGAATTTTATTATTTATAATTATTTATGTATATTATATGTATTTGTATAATACCGAAATTATACAATCAATCCGGCATATCAATAGATATTATAGGTACAACAGGTTTTGTTAGATCAATTTTTTTAACATGTTTTTCATTTTTTTCTGATACCATTGGTTCTGATGGTGGTTGGTCTTGTTCACTTCTTGGTTGATAAGAAATATTACCATATTCTTGAAGTAATGGGCACAAACTCAATAAAAAATGACAAAAATCTTTTCTAATACCAAACCACCCTAAAATTAATAAAAATTTTTTATTTTTAATAATTTTGTTATTATAAAATATCTAATTATATTTAACATTTAAATATAATTTTTTTACATCTATTTCCTCCTTTTGCATCAAATGACATAAAAATAAGTGTTATGTGAGATATTAAAAGTGGCATTGCTACTGTTGTATAATTCAATGAAATATCTCCATCCAATTTATTTGCTAACAATACCTAATAAATAAAATCTTGATTAAAAAAAATTCATAAGAAAAAATTAATTTTAAAATTATTGCTTAATTCTTACTTGAAACACTAAAATTGGAACTACAAGAAATGTATATGCCAATGCTGAATTCAAAGATGTCCGCCTTTGCCTGGCATTAATCTGTGGGGTTCTTAATAAAACAGCAGCAAATACTATAGCATATAGAACTGCAACTAAAGATAAAGATAAAAGTGCCCAAAGAGGAGCAAACACTACTTCCCAACTCCACGTTATAAAACCATCTAATCTTAATGCCAAGAAAATAAATTGTAAAATATTTACTGCACAAAATAATTCAAGTTCAAATGATCGATCATGTTTGGCAGCCCATATACACACCTATAAAAAAGAAAATATTTATATTTTCTGTAAAATTAATTTATATCATTCTGCTACATAATTAAAAATTACATACAACTATTGATACTGCAGAGATGAAAATAAGAGGTATAAATACAAGCATCCAAAGATGTCTTTCAGATTCTAATTTATCACATACTAACAATTCAAACATTAACAGAATTAAATGTAAAGCTAATGTAATTAACATTGCTTTATAATGTACATAAGCATCTCCTTCCAATCTTGCATGTGGATGCCTCCACCAAATATAACTTCCAATAGTAGCACCTAAAATTACCATGCTTTTCCAAAACCATATTGGAGTAAATACAGTCCAATAACTCCATTCTATGAAACCATCCAAACGAAGTGCAAATAATGTTGTAAATATCATCAAACAGGTGTGTACTAAAAATTTACTAAAATATAAATTAAAAAATAATTAATATTTATTGTTTTGATTATATATATTTTTTATTATTTATTATTTTAATTTATTTTTATATAGACAAATATTATTAATATATATTTATAATTCATTTTAGAAAATTCACAATTATATATACACATATATTCACTTAATTAAATTTGATAATAAAAATATATTACGAATTTCATAATAAATTATTATCAATTGAATTTATTATTAATCTTATTCATTTTTTAAATGATTACAAAATAATTATATATGAAAAAATTTATAAATTGATTATTTTTGAGAATTTATAATAAAAAATAACAATAATCTCGTAATAATAATAAAACGTGATAAATAAAATAGTTATTTATAATTGATAAATAAAATGATTATTTATAATTTTCTGATTCTTTTTCTCGTGAATACATATCAAATTAAAATTAAAAATATTAATAAATATTTGATTAAATTATCAAATATTAAATCCATATTAAATTAAATATTAATTTTAAGAAAGATTATATTAAAAATTAAACACAAGTATATCTTACAATAAAATTTATACAATTTCATTATTAATATTTTATTTCATTATATCATAAAATTTTATTATGAAAATCAATAAAAAAAATTTTTTAAATTCATGTGCGAAGATTTTTACCTTGGATTGAAATCTTGGAACAGTGTTTGAAGATTCATGATTATCAGAACAATTTTATAGGCCAACTACTTGATGTATATCTTTGTGATGACCACCGCGTAAACATATATTCTACTAAAAATTGTTTCATTTATCGCAAAATTTATCGCGGAAGAATATAAACGGTGAGTTCTGCATTTGCATTTGATGAAAAAAATAAATCCCACCGTCTTACATGCAAAAATCCGAATTGCACTGAAATTAGTCAAAAGTATACAGCTGTCGACATTCGATATATCAAGTAACTTAAATGTTAGTAGAAAACTTCGTACTTATGCAAATTGCAATTTATAAATTGTAAACATTTAAGATATTCATTCTTACATAATAAAATTGTATACATGTATACATAATAAAATTTTTATTTAAAATTATTTTAATTGAATTTTGAATTGAAAATAATAATTTATTTTTTAACATATTTAATATTTTTAAAATTATTAATATCATTTAACATATTTAAAATAAGCTTATAATTAAATACATAGTCATTATAACTATGAATATATATTTTTTTAAATAATGTTATTTAATTCGGTTTTTTATTTATAATATAACTTTTTAAATTGTATAATATAAAAATTTTAACTATTAATAATGAATAATTTATTTATTAATAATAGAGATTCAGATAATATATATTTAAAAATTTAATTTTCAAATAATTGCAAATAAAATGTTAGTTTTTAAAAAGATTATTTAAAATAAACTGAAAAACAAAATAGAAATAATTAAATATTTCAACCAATCCGCGCTTATTTGTTGATAACTAACTTATAGATTGCTCTGCCAGTTTCCGTTCCAGTGTAAACGTGTTTCTTTTCGTGCGTGACTTCAATTATGGCGGTGGGTAAAAATAAGGGACTTTCGAAAGGAGGTAAAAAAGGTGTTAAAAAGAAGATGTAAGTAAATCATAATATTTCCTTAATGTACTTTAAATATTTCTTATAAAAAATATTTAATTTTCTTTTTGAAATTATTAAAGATGCTTCATATTATAATAGATTCTCTATGTCTGACATTCAAATTTCATATATATATTTTATGTTTAATATATTGTTTTTATCAATATTTATTAATTCATATAATTTTAGAATATATCATGTTTTTTTAGATATAAAAAAGATTAATTCAAAAGTTTTTATTTTAATTATAGATTTTTATTCATTGATTATTTATTTATTGATTTCTTTTAAATAGTATCAATATAAATTGAAATATATCGAATCTGATGCAATACATTAACATAATTAAATTTTGAGTTGAAATTATTAATTATGATTAAATTGTGTATGTGTATTAAAATATGAATATTTCTTAATCATTGAAATCCTAACCTAATTTTTCATTTGATACAGTGTCGATCCCTTTACTCGTAAAGATTGGTATGATGTTAAGGCACCATCTATGTTTACCAACCGTCATGTTGGCAAAACATTGGTCAATAGAACTCAAGGAACAAGTAAGATAATTATTTTTTAACTTTATTAAAAATTAAAAAATATTTGCAACTCCAGCTCCATCAAAGTTTTATTGTTACTTTATGGCGTTTTATGTTGCATAGAGAATAGCAGACAGTTACCATAATATTATTTTATGTGATAATATTAAAACTAATTACTGCTACAAATTTATGTAAAAAGTACAATTTAATATATATTAATAATAATTATTTATAATTTTATTGTAATATTTTAAATTATTTTTCATATTAATTTTATATTCATTATATTGTAGAAATTGCTTCTGAGGGATTAAAATACAGAGTATTTGAAGTATCCTTAGCAGATTTACAAAATGATGGAGATGCAGAAAGATCTTTTCGTAAATTTAGGTTGATTGCCGAAGATGTACAACATCGTAATGTATTGACAAACTTCCATGGTATGGATTTAACTACAGATAAATTAAGATCCATGGTTAAAAAATGGCAAACTCTGATAGAAGCTAATGTTGATGTAAAAACTACTGATGGATATTTGCTTAGAGTTTTCTGCATTGGTTTTACTAACAAAGATCAATTAAGCACAAGAAAAACGTGTTATGCTCAACATGCACAGGTTGATATTTATATAAAAAATTTATACAAATTTATAAATATATTATTTTTCATTTTTAATATTTGCAACTTAAAATGCATAAAGGTAAAATAAACATTTTTATGTTTTATGAAGTTGCATAAATTAATAGACAGTCGCTTACCACACTATTTTTGGACTAGAAAATAGTGATATTTGATATTGCAACATTTTTTATTAAAATATATTATGGGATATCTTTGAAAGTTGATTCTAGAAGCCAAAATAAATATAAATAAAGTAAAAAAATATCAATTAAAACTTATTTGTAATTTATTTTAAATTAAAAATAACTTAGAATTGTGTTGAATAAAGTAACAAAATGGAATGCAATAATGAAATAACAAAGATAGAATGATCTTCATTCTATCTTCCATTTTGCTTTGTCCAATACAAATTTCAATTGCTTATAAATTAAGTAAACATTTTTGTATATTTTTATGTTTATTTTGATTTCTAGAATTGATTTTTCAATATCTAATAAATATATTAATACTGTATGAATTTATTATTCATATAGTACATATGTAAAGTTATTTATGTAGAGTTTTTATATTTAGGTCAAAAAAATCAGGCAGAAAATGGTAGATACAATTACGAATGATGTTACAAAAAGTGATTTAAAGGGTGTAGTCAGTAAGCTTTTACCAGATGCTACTGCAAAAGATATTGAAAAAGCTTCACAAGGAATTTATCCACTACATGATGTTTATATTCGCAAGGTATAAGTAAAAACAATTGTTTCTATAATTTTAGTATCTTTTAAAAAAAATTCTATAAGTAGAAATACATAATATCATAGGTTAAAGTATTAAAGAAGCCACGTTTCGAATTGAGCAAATTACTGGAACTCCATGGTGACGGTGCAGGTAGTAAAAGTGAAGAAGTAGGCGAAAGTGGTTCAAAAGTCGATAGACCAGAAGGCTATGAACCACCTGTACAGGAATCCGTTTAAGAGAATAATTCTCTTTCATAATTTGATATAAATAAAAACCACGTTTCAGTGTGAATATCATTCTCTATTTTATTTTTCTTTTATTTACCTATTTATTGCTTCCCAAAAAAGGAATATAAGGTAAAATTCAAAATTTGATTCTATTTGTAAATATTTATTATTGAAAAAATAAATTTATTATATTAATTATTTTACTAATTAAAAAAAAACTATAAATCAATAAAAAAAGAAGATCCATAGTTTATTTCGTCGCATTAAAGTTCAAAATTAAAATATTAAAAACTTTATAATGTGAATAGTTAATGTAATAAAGTTCGAGTGATGAACAACCAACTTCCTATTAATAGTGCTTTGAAACTCTCATTCCAGGATGCAAATACATAAATTAATAATATCAAGAAAAATATTTTTGTTATGACATCAATCCAATACATGCTGCAATAAAAATTATATATATTAGTAATTAATAACATTTTATAAAACTTTCAAAATTTAATTTTTCTAAATAGATTTTACATTCTTAAATGTCTTCGAGCAGCCGGTAAAGTTTCTGGCGGTTCGTTCAATATATAAATTCTTGCTGCTCTTATACATGTTTCAAAATATGCGTCTATATCCATATCTTCTCCATGTAATTGATATTTTTCATATTCCACAGGATTAAGTTTATTTCGTACTTCCAAGAGATTTGAATTATCGAAGTCCCACTGATTGTTGGCATAATATTCAAAAACTTCGAAACCTTTTTGTATCCGACGTTGTACGCGGCACATACTATTCATAGTAAGAGTTTTATATCCTTTAATGTCGTTAAAATGATTTGATTTGAAAATAATTGATCATCTATAAATGAAAAATTATAATTTTCAAATATACTTACATTGGCTTATAACCTGCAAGGAAAATAAGTGCATCTATGAAATAAGCGGGTATCATATGAAAAAATAAAACACATATATTATGCATGAGTCTTGATCTTTTCATACTTCCACCTGGATACCAAACAACCCCGTTCAAAGGAACTTTTTCTGTTATTTTTCGACCCCTGGCAATGATTTCTGCCCATGATACCTAAAATTTTCATGTTGAGATACATTGAACGTTTATTGTATATATAAATTATTACTAATTAAAGATAATTTACCTTAAATTCACTACTGCTTGTAAGATTGTAAACTCTCTTTTCATGATCCTTACAATAGATGAAATTCCAAGAAATAGCAAGAATTGCATTTACTGCAATATCAACAGGAACATAATCAGCATAACCACTGTCATTACAATACATCGTTCGAATAACACCTTTTCCAGCACCAATCAAGAGTCCTGTTGGACCGTTAATATTATCTGTCCATCCTGGAATTGGTTCTTTCCATATTGGTATAACTATGCTTGGTCTAAGATTTAAAATAATTTCCGATTAAAAATATTCATTATTTCTATAAGTATTTATTTTTATTTATACCTTAATATAATTGCTGGAATATATGGCATTGCTTCTTCAACAAGGCTTTCTGACAAAGCTTTGGTAAAGGCATATGTATTAGGAAGATGTGCTAAAATTTTATCTGTCATAGCTTCAACCACATCATCATCCATCCATTCTACGCATTTAATTATTTTATGAGGATCTCCAGGTGGTGGATACGGTTTTTCTCCTAAAACCTGAGAAACAAATTTTGAAAAAATTATGAAAAAAATGTAAGTATTCGTATTTAATTTTAAATATGATTAGAGATATAATACTTTTTCTTCAAGATGACAATATGCTGTACTGATATGAGCAAATAATTTTAAATGCTTCATCTCTTTGGCTAATTCCAACATTTGTTTTGTACCACGCGTATTTAATAGTACTGCTTTTTTCAACATTTCGTCAAATCTATAATAATTTAATGATCAAATTCAATATTATTTTTGATATTATAAATATATGTTTTCAATACATTCATTTTATACTACCGTACTGTAGCAGCTGCATGATATACAATATTAATCTTTTCACAAAGCATTTTTCTATCTTCTGAAGAAAGACCAAGTCCAGGTAGCGATACATCTCCGTTTATAACAGTTACAGATTTTTTAAGTGTTTCTTCACCTCTTTGTTTTTTAACTTTTTCAAATAGCTAAAATAATTTGTCAATTATAGTTTTTTGTTAATTATTCATTAGTTTTATATAATACTTATAAATATAATATAAATTGGTGTATTAAATTCGAATTAGAAATCGTTCGTTTTAAAAGAAATTCTTTTTAAATATGATTTTGTTTTATTTTTATTGTTATTTATTTATTTAATTAATTGATATTGTAAAACCATTAAAAAATTTTTAAGTTTAGTTAGATAGTTATCATAAATAATTAAATATAAAATCTGAAATACTATTATGCATTTATATGAAATAATTTTTAGAATTGCTATTACGAATGATGTGATTAATAATTTCTTCATTAAATAATATATATATAATTACATATATAATTATTTTCTTTTACAGAAAAACAATGAACTAATTATAAGAACATTTTTACATATAATTATAATTAATATAATATGATCAAATTCTTCAATTTTCATTGTATATGAGATGTGATTTGTATACATATATATTACGTGAGAGAATGAGGTCCAGAAGTCAGCAGCACAGAAGATGTGACATAACAGACCAGTTGAAAAATAAGAACTTTCACTGAATATGAGACTTGATAATAATAGAGGTAATAACCTTTGCCATCCTTTTCTTTATGATACGGCCTTGACTTCATTCCTTTTTGTTGTAATACAGGAATCATATTTTTTACCGCGCAAATCGTAGATTTCATTTTTAATAAATTCGAAGAAATAAGCAAGAGTTGCGTAAATCATCGGAAATATTTCAGAACGTATTGCATTCTATTAAAGATGAAGATGACATTTTAACTATTAAATAACTCTTTTTTATTTGATTCATGACATCATATATTATATGTTAGCTAGAATATTCCTCATTATATTGATTACTACTTGTTAATATATATCTTTTTTTTTTAATTATATAGAAATGTGACGTAATATTCTATTTAATTGATTTTTGCTAATTTTGATAAATAAATTTTTTTTAGATTTAAATAAAATATATAAGTTAATAATAATTTGAGAATTATAGTTAAATCAATTATAATGAATTATAATTTGACATATATATATTTTTTTATCATAAAATATTCTAATAGAAACGGTCAAACCTAAGTTGATTAAAATTTACGATATTTGCATTATGCCAGTCACTTTTATTTTTTACTTAGATCAAATTTAGTCTTTGAAAAATTTTCTTTATTTTTTTCAATTGTATTTGATTTTAATCAATGTAATATATTTTCTTTTTATTGGATAAAATTTATCGTTTAAATAATATTTTCTTGTTTAACAATAGATTCAACAAAACATGAAATCGTCATTATATCAAAATGTATTTGTATAACTAACGTTATTTTTGTACAACTAGTTTTGAAAAATTTCTTTTCTTTTCGACAGTGAAAATAAATTTTTCAATAAAAATGAGTATCAAGGTGCTTTTCTTGCACAATTTAATCTTTACATAATTAAACTTTCTCCATGTGTTTTACAAGATACGTGTTGCAATACCTTACGCATTAAAAAATCTACTCTTACTATAACACTATTATAATAGTTTCTAATATAAATTTAATAGAAATTATTTTTCATAAAATGTTTTTTAATAATATATATATTTATTTATTTTTATTATATATATATTTTATTATATATATTATATTATATATATATTTTTTATTATATATATATTTATTTTTTTTTTTTCAATTTATTCGTTTAAATGCAATCATCTCAAATATTTTTCTCAGAAATTAGGTTAGAAAAAATTGCTTCAAACAATAATATATACAAGAAACTTGTTTGCGTGTTCATAAATGGTTGAATTGCTTTCTTACGTAATATCATCAAGACATATTAGATTGAAATTTTTTTATGATAATAGTTTAAAATCTACATCAGATCTATATTATCTATATTTTTATGCTAATATTTATTTTGTTCAAAAATTGAATAATCACATAAAATTCCAATAAGATAATATAATATATATATATTTACCGGTGAATTAAAAATTTCCTCTAAGCGATGTTTTGGATTTTTTTCTTTTTTCGTTCTGATCAACATATAAATTTGTTTTATGTCCGGTAAACATCTGAGAAATTTTTCAACAATGACTTTTCCTAAAAATCCAGTGCCACCAGTGATTAAGATGTTCTGATTTTTGAAAGATTCTGCTATTCTATCAGATATCTCTTCCACTTTTGATTCTGCCATCGTATCTAATCAAAAAATAATTATGATTATAATATGTAATTTTTTTATATAGATAAATACGTTTAAAAAATAAATATTATATTTATGTTAAATTCTAAGAATTAAATGTAATTCCAATATATAAAAAAGGTATTATCGTTGGCATTATACTTAATGAAAATTATAGTGTAAATTTCAAAAATTTCAACATATTAAATATTTCGCAATTTTTCAATTTTTATTTGTATGCATATAAAATTTCAGTTTTCCAAACAGTATTATATATGCAAATGAATTTTTTCAATTAAACATTATTTATAAAGCAATACGTAAAATAAACATGCATTTTGAAAATTATTTTTTGTAAGAATTTAAGTGACAATAAGTTTTCAATAGTATTAATCCATTATTTTATTACTTTTGTTGATCATTTTAAACAAAACATGTTAATAATTATATCTTTTCCTATATATAATATATATAATATATAATATATATAATATATAATATATATTATATATAATATATATTATATATATATAAAATATTATATTATATATATAATATTATACGTAATATTATAATTTCGTGATAATGACTAATTGTCAGTCAAGTGATTAAAGCAAATATAGGAAAAATTGAACAATTTAAATTTTAAATATTAATGGTTGCAATTATCAAGATAATGATTGTAAATTATCTAATGATGGAAATAAGTGGAAATAACCACTAATATGTTAGAATTATATTATTATATCCCGCAAGGGAGACCGACTAATTTCAAGAATTGTTTTATTTTGTCTTGAATTCGTTGAGTCTTTTGGGTGATGGCGTACCCACGGACCTGAGCCAAATATGAATTTTTCTTTTTCAATTAACTTACTTATAACTTTTTCTGAATTCGGTAGTAATGAAATCTTGAATGTTTCAAATTATTTTGACATATACTATGACGTAAAAATATTTTGAATATTTTTAAAAATTTTAAAAAATATAAATTAAAATTTGAAAACTAAATTAGATAGATAATGGTTTAAAAAGAAAATAGAGCACGAAAATGATGAAATTATAAAGCATTAAAATTAAGTACCAAAGAAACGGATATACATATTGTTTTATGAAATGAAATTTGCATAAAAGAACAAACATTATGGTTATGCAAACATCATGAAATGGCGTAATAATTTTTACAGTAATGTAAAAACATCATCTGTGTTGACAAAGAAGCTTGGATACTTTGGAAAAAATCTTTATACTAAAAGATTCTTATCGGTTTTTTATTGAAAAAAATTTTTTTTTATTTCTATTTCTTGTTGATTTTTGAATAAGCGTTACATAATAAAAGCCTGAATTATTAATTTTTAAATGTATTTGTTATATAAGTGATGCAGCCAAGATCAAATAGTTTTTTATAATTTTATAAAAACATTTTAAAAACTTAATAGGAAATTGTTATTATTTTAATCTTTTGTTATTGAATCACATATTGAAATTTAATTTCATTGATAATATTATAATAAAATATTATTATAATATAATATATTATTATAATATTAAAATATTATATTAAATTTGATACATTAAATATTTTTTAATTATGTAATTTAGAACATTGAATAATTAAATGCGCAATGATACTCAACAATGTTATCTAATATTGAGTATTTGATATCTGATATTTTATATTCTACTATGAATATATAATGACATAGTTTTTAATTTAAGAAATCACAAATTCTTTAAAATAAACTATAAATAACTTTAAAATAAATTTGAAATAAATTTAAATAACTTCAAAATAAGTTGAATCATTCTATTATTCATTAGAAAATTTCGATCACTATTATTTTTGAATATTGCTTCACTTAGAATGTTTTCATATTCGTTGGTTTTCAATAATTATTTTTAATCATATTGTTACAGATTTAAGAAAATTTAATGTTGTAAAGACTGATAAATTATTATATATTTATTATAATATAAATATAATATTATAATTATTATATTTATTATATATTTAGCATATTTACATTTTTTTATTCATATAAAAGATTTATAAAAAATAAATCTAAATAAATCTAAAACAATAAACAAACGAAGAAACAAAATTAAATTTTACTTTATTATCTAAAAAACACTAAAATTTAATTAAATTGTATACGTTTCAAAAATAAGATGAAAAAAGAAAGAAATTATATATTTTCAATGAACACTTACTTTTAAAAATAAAAAAAATTTCTCAAGCTTATTCCTCAAAGTTCACAGATGAATAATGGTGAACAAAATGAAACACGACTGTTACTTTACAAGTGACCGGCTTTAGTCAATCGGTGTTACTTGGACGGTGAGCACGATACAGACTGAGAAAGTATAATGTTGGCCCAATATTTTCTTAGATGATCTCAATGTATTCCCTATTTACTTTCGTATGGTCGTTCGGTTGCTCCCACCCTTATTCAAGAGAATAACTCAATATTTAAACTATATAATTGCTTATATATATATTCAATCATATTTCATAATCGAGATTTTCATAATTTTATTGAAATTATATTTCATTATTATGACAATTTTTTGAAGAATATGTGAATTATAAAGATATATTTATATATATAGATATATATAGATTAATATGATTCATTTTAAGATTAAACTTTATTAGAATAAATGTAAATAAATTCTTATAAATATCAATATTCACATTAGAACAGTTAATTTTAATTTCGATTTTTTTTTTTCTCTTGATAAAAATCTAAAACTATAGATAGTTTAAAATTAATGTAACATAATTTAAATTGTAATGCGATTAATGTAATTCAAATTTAATGCAATCTTTATTCTATTTACATTTAATGCTATTCAAAAGTTAATGATATATGTATGTATGTATATATATTTACTTTAACTTGGAAAATTATTTTAACAAAAAAAATAATTTTACGAATTTGAAAATTTAAGGATTTAAAATAACATAAAAATATTAAATCTTGATTAATTGATAATATAATTAATTTAAAATATTGATCTTGAAATTATCATAGATAACATTTTGATATGCAATTCGTATAATTTTTTTTTACAGTCCTTTTTTTTCAATTAAAAAAGGAATTATTAAAAAAAAATAAATTAATATAAAACAAAAAATTATGAAATATAAAACAAAACTAAAAAACTAAAAATATTCTTGTTTGAAAAATATATATATATATATATAT